TAAATTATCCGGAAAGATACATTCTTATTTTAGGAAAGGGATAAAGACTCTCTGTTAGATTCCATGTCCTAAGATGAATGCAAAAGTTCAGATTTGGCTATCATAATACGTAAAACAATTAGAAAGAAATGGCATGATTAAATTGAAAATGCAAAACAATAAAGTTGCTTTTCCATGTTACTTTTTTGATTGTTCAACTTCAACACATTCTTTTTATCTTACATTTATTCTTGGATTGTTTTAAAAAATGCACCTTTCCACTTGATTGAAGGTGGTTTTGTTTTGGAAAAACAAATGCTAGATGATAGAAGATTCCCAAAAATGCATCTCGACTTACAGCAAAAGGTCCCCATAAAGGTAATGTAAGATTTTTTTTTTTTTTCCCTGACAGATTATTAAAAGCAGTAATCAATTGAAAACATTTACACCATTGCAATAAACCATTAGCCCAAATACAATACTTTTTTTTTTTTGTTGATAAATAACCATTAACTCAAATACAATACTTCCCCACCCCCATTAACCCCAAATCTAGCCACCAAATAGGCCTTATTCCAGCCTTCCTAACAAAGTAGATCCTGCAATCCATCAACAAACTCCAAGGCTGAATCATATCATCAAGAATAATAGCCACACTCTGGTCCATTTCCCTATTCACATTAAACATATTCACCACGATGGCAAGTGTTAAACAAATTTGATTGGGTCCATTCACCTATCCTCAGGTTTGCTGCATAATATCCCGGACACTATTGTTGGGTTATGTTATGTGAACGAGGCAAGCATCAGATTATGCTGCTAGTATTGTTTGATCATTTCCTTGCGGAAGGAGTGGTACATTGACAGTAATAACTGATGTCGCTTTTTGTGACCAAACTTACCTTTTGCATGTAGAGAGCATTAGCACCTTCCAAACTAGGGCAGGATACCCTCCTTTCAAGGATTTTATTTTTGCCTCTTTGAATGATTTTGTGAATCGTAGATCTCATTTCTAAATTAGGACAGGGCAACCCTAACCCCCGATAGGCACGAATACAAATTATGTGCTTGTGCGTTATTTTGAAACTGATTTGATTTGATTCCTGAGATCAACAATGAGAAAGGCAGTCATTTCTTTCTGAAAATCTGGGGAGTCTGATATGGCAGTGATTTGATTCTGCTGCAATCCGAGTTATTTGGGGCAATGATCCAATTACGGAGATTTGGGTGTTCAATTTAGGCTGTGATTCGTATTCTGGTAATGATTTGAGTAATCAGTAGTAGATTAGGGGGGTTGTTTCCCAATTTTAAAGAATTTGAGTTTGAATTTGGGTTCTTACCTTAGTGATCAAAAGAGAAGAATTTTTGCCTTTTTAAAATTTAAATCCCCAATAAAACATGTTTTGAAAGAAAAACTTCTATGAAAAAGAAACTTTCCAACTTAAGTAGAGCTTTGGAGGTTATGGAAGGAGTTTGATTGAATAAGAATCTTTAAGTCATTGACTTTAGGGGGAATTTCAGCTTTTATGAAAAATGGTAGATAAGGAAGTGGTGACCGCATCTTCCATTTTGAAAAAATCTCCAAATCCCCCCAAAGATCATTGACTAAGGAGACAATTGTTTGATTAGATACTTGGAATAAAATCCGAAGCTCCTAGGGAGGAAAGAATTTTGAAAGAAAACGTGAGTAGAACTTCAGAAATTATGAAAAGTTTTTGATCAGACAGAAATCTTTAGGTTTTTCGACTTTAGAGGGAATTTGATTTTTTGGAAAAGTGTTTGATGAGGAGGTAATGACCGAGTATTTCACTTTGAAATGAAATTTTGAATTTCCTTAGATGACATTTGACTAGAAGGTAATTGTTTGATTGATTTCGTCAAATAAGATGTTAAATTCCTTCGAAATTTTTTGAAAATAAAATTTGAGTAGAGTTCGGAAATTATGGAAAGTTCTTTTGAGTTGAAATCTTTGGGCCACTAACTTTGAGGGAACCTTTATTTTATGGAGAAATGTTGAACAAGGAAGTGATGACCAAGTCTCTCATTCTGAATAAAATTTTGGTTCCTCTATAAGATATTTGGCTAGAGGATGATTGTTTGATTGATTCCTTGGAATAAAATACGAACTTCTCAAAACATTTGAAAAAAAAGAGGGAAGCAAAACTTTGAGAATTTAAATTAAAAAAAGGCACTTTATTTTAAAAAAGGGTTTTGAAAAGAAAAAAAATTGAAGTTGAGATCTGGTCACACACTCTTGAAAATAAATTGTGTCACATTTCGGGAAACAATAAATAATGGAAAGACAATTGTTTAGATTGATCACTCTGCTAGGAATCATTAAAATTCCTCAAAATTGCCTTGGTTGGGCAACTATCACCCAATGGGTGATGATGATGACTTCGAGATCCGATGGCAAGTGTTAAATAAAATTGGCTGGGTCCATTCACCTATCCTCAGATTTGCTGCATAATATCTCGTACACTATTCGTGGGTTATGTTATGTGAACGAGGCAAGCATCAGATTATGCTGCTAGTATTGTTTGATCATTTCCTTGCGGAAGGAGTGGTACATTGACAGTAATAACTAATGTGGCTTTTTATGACCAAACTTACCTTTTGCATTTAGAGATCATGGATAACCTAGCTAATCTATTTAATTGAGGTCAACCAAAAATAATTTTAAATTTTAAACTTAGTATAAATGTTGAATTTATTTAAAGGCAATCATGCGCATCAACTTGTGACTGTAAGTACCTTATGCACATGTTGGGTTTTCAACAATTAATCACATATATCATCAAGAAAAAACTGTGCGGACACACACCCACAAGCCAATAATATCTTACAATTGATGATTGCACATATTTTATCAGGTCACTTAATATATTGCAAAAAATCCTCAAAATTGCCTTGGTTGGGCAACTATCACCGAATGGGTGATGATGATGACTTCGAGATCCGATGGTTAGTCTTAAACAAATTTGATTGGGTCCATTCACCTTTCCTCAGGTTTGCTGCATAATATCCAGGACACTATTCGTGGGTTATGATATGTGAACGAGGCAAGCATCAGATTATGCTGCTAGTATTGTTTGATCATTCCCTTGCGGAAGGAGTGGTACATTGACACTAATAACTGATGTGGCTTTTTGTGGCCAAACTTACCTTTTGCATGTAGAGAGCATTAGCACCTTCCAAACTAGGGCAAGATACCCTCCTTTCAAGGATTTTATTTTTGCCTCTTTGAATGATTTAGTGAATCGTAGATCTCATTTCTAAATTAGGACAGGGCAACCCTAACCCCCAATAGGCACGAATGCAAATTATGTGCTTGTGCGATATTTTAAAACTGATTTGATTTGATTTGATTCCTGAGATCAACAATGAGAAAGACAGTGATTTCTTTCCGAAAATCTGGGAAGTCTGATATGGCAGTGATTTGATTCTGCTGCAATCCGAGTTACTTGGGGCAATGATCCAATTACAGAGATTTGGGTGTTTAATTTAGGTAGTGATTCGTATTCTGATAATGATTTGAGTAACCAGTAGTAGATTAGGGGGGTTGTTTCCCAATTTTAAAGAATTTGAGTTTGAATTTGGGTTCTTACCTTAGTGATCAAAAGAGAAGAAATATTGCCTTTTTAAAATTTAAATACCCAATAGAACATGTTTTGAAAGAAAAACTTCTAGGAAAAAGAAACTTTCCAACTTAAGTAGAGCCTTGGAGGTTATGGAAGGTGTTTGATTGAATAAGAATCTTTAAGTCATTGACTTTAGGGGGAATTTCAGCTTTTATGAAAAATGGTAGATAAGGAAGTGGTGACCAAATTTTCCATTTTGAATAAAACTCCAAATCCCCCAAAAGATCATTGACTAAGGAGACAATTGTTTGATTAGATACTTGGAATAAAATCCGAAGCTCCTAGGGAGAATTTTGAAACAAAATGTGAGTTGAACTTTAGAAATTATGAAAAGATTTTGATCAGACAGAAAGCTTTAGGTTTTTTGACTTTAGAGGGAATTTGATTTTATGGAAAAGTGTTTGATGAGAAGGTAATGACCGAGTCTTTCACTTTGAAATGAAATTTTGAATTTCCTTAGAAGACATTTGACTATAAGGTAACTGTTTGATTGATTTCGTCGAATAAGATGTTAAATTCCTTGGAAATTTTTTGAAAATAAAATTTGAGTAGAGTTCCGAAATTATGAAAAGTTCTGTCCATCGAGTGAAAATTTTTGGGCCACTGACTTTGAGGAAACCTTAATTTTATGGAGAAATGTTGGACAAGGAAGTGATGACCAAGTCTCTCATTCTAAATAAAATTTTGGTTCCTCTATAAGATATTTGGCTTGAGGATGATTGTTTGATTGATTCCTTGAAATAAAATCCGAACTCCTCAAAACATTTGAAAAAAAAGAGGGAAGCAAATCTTTGAGAATTTAAATTAAAAAAAGGCCTTTATTTTGAAAAAGGGTTTTGACAAAAAAAAAAAAAAAAATTTGAGTTGAGATTTGATCACACACTCTTGAAAATAAATTGGGTCACATTTCGGGAAACAATAAATAACGGAAAGACAATTGTTTAGATCGATCACTCTGGTAGGAATCATTAAAATTCCTCAAAATTGCCTTGGTTGGGCAACTAATCACCCAATGGGTGATGATGATGACTTCGAGATCCGATGGCAAGTGTTAAACGAAATTGGCTAGGTCCAGTCACCTATCCTCAAGTTTGCTGCATAATATCTCGTACACTATTCGTGGGTTATGTTATGTGAACGAGGCAAGCATCAGATTATGCTGCTAGTACTGTTTGATCATTCCCTTGCGGAAGGAGTGGTACATTGACACTAATAACTGATGTGGCTTTTTGTGGCCAAACTTACCTTTTGCATGTAGAGAGCATTAGCACCTTCCAAACTAGGGCAAGATACCCTCCTTTCAAGGATTTTATTTTTGCCTCTTTGAATGATTTAGTGAATCGTAGATCTCATTTCTAAATTAGGACAGGGCAACCCTAATGACTTTAGAGGGAATTTGATTTTATGGAAAAGTGTTTGATGAGGAGGTAATGACCGAGTCTTTCACTTTGAAATGAAATTTTGAATTTCCTTAGAAGACATTTGACTAGAAGGTAATTGTTTGATTGATTTCGTCAAATAAGATGTTAAATTCCTTTGAAATTTTTTGAAAATAAAATTTGAGTAGAGTTCGGAAATTATGAAAAGTTCTATCCATCGAGTGAAAATCTTTGGGCCACTGACTTTGAGAGAACCTTAAATTTTTGGAGAAATGTTAGACAAGGAAGTGATGACCAAGTCTCTCATTCTGAATAAAATTTTGATTCCTCTATAAGATATTTGGCTAGAGGATGACTGTTTGATTGATTCCTTGTAATAAAATCCGAACTCCTCATAACATTTGGAAAAAAAGAGGAATGGAAAACTTTAAGAATTTAAATAAAAAAATGGCACTTTATTTTGAAAAAGGGTTTTGAAAAAAAAAAAGAAAATTGAAGTTGAGATTTGATCACACACTTGAAAATAAATTGGGTCACATTTCGGGGAACAATAAATAATGGAAAGACAATTGTATTGATCACTCTGGTAGGAATCGTTAAAATTCCTCAAAATTGCCTTGGTTGGGCAACTATCACCCAATGGGTGATTATAATGACCTCGAGATCCGATGGCAAGTGTTAAATAAAATTGGCTGGGTCCATTCACCTATCCTCAGGTTCGAAATTGGCTAGGTCCAGTCACCTATCCTCAGGTTTGCTGCATAATATCTCGTACACTATTCGTGGGTTATGTTATGTGAACGAGGCAAGCATCAAATTATGCTGCTAGTATTGTTTGATCATTTCCTTGCGGAAGGAGTGGTACATTGACAGTAATAACTGATGTGGCTTTTTATGACCAAACTTACCTTTTGCATTTAGAGATCATTAGCACCTTCCAAACTAGGGCAGGATACCCTTTTTTCTAGGATTGTATTATTTGCCTCTTTGAATGATTTAGCGAATCGTAGATCTCATTTCTAAATTAGGACAGGGCAACCCTAACCCCCGATAGGCACGAATGCAAACTATGTGCTTGTGTGATATTTTGAAACTGATTTGATTTGATTTGATTCCTGAGATCAACAATGAGAAAGACAGTGATTTCTTTCCGAAAATCTGGGAAGTCTGATATGGCAGTGATTTGATTCTGCTGCAATCCGAGTTATTTGGGGCAATGATCCAATTACAGAGATTTGGGTGTTCAATTTAGGCTGTGATTCGTATTCTGATAATGATTTGAGTAATCAGTAGTAGATTATTGGGGTTATTTCCCAATTTTAAAGAATTTGAGTTTGAATTTGGGTTCTTACCTTAGTGATCAAAAGAGAAGAATTTTTGCCTTTTTAAAATTTAAATCCCCAATAAAACATGTTTTGAAAGAAAAACTTCTAGGAAAAAGAAAGTTTCCAACTTAAGTAGAGTCTTGGAGGTTATGGAAGGTGTTTGATTGAATAAGAATCTTTAAGTCATTGACTTTAGTGGGAATTTCAACTTTTATGAAAAATGGTAGATAAGGAAGTGGTGACCGCATCTTCCATTTTGAAAAAAACTCCAAATCCCCCAAACGATAATTGACTAAGGAGACAATTGTTTGATTAGATACTTGGAATAAAATCCGAAGCTCCTTGGAAGGAAAGAATTTTGAAAGAAAACCTGAGTAGAATTTTAGAAATTATGAAATGCTTTTGATCAGACTGGAATCTTTTGGTTTTTCGACTTTAGAGGGAATTTGATTTCATGGAAAAGTGTTTGATGAGGAGGTAATGACCGAGTCTTTCACTTTGAAATGAAATTTTGAATTTCCTTTGAAGACATTTGACTATAAGGTAACTGTTTGATTGATTTCTTCAAATAAGATGTTAAATTCCTTGGAAATTTTTTGAAATTTAAATTTGAGTAGAGTTCGGAAATTATGAAAAGTTCTGTCCGTCGAGTGAAAATCTTTGTGCCACTGACTTTGAGGGAACCTTAATTTTATGGAGAAATGTTAGACAAGGAAGTGATGGCCAAGTCTTTCATTCTGAATAAAATTTTGGTTCCTCTATAAGATATTTGGCTGGTGGATGATTGTTTGATTGATTCCTTGGAATAAAATCCGAACTCCTCAAAACATTTGAAAAATAAGAGGGATGGAAAACTTTCAGAATTTAAATAAATAAAAGGCACTTTATTTTGAAAAAGGGTTTTGAAAAAAAAAAATTGAAGTTGAGATTTGATCACACAGTCTTGAAAATAAATTGGGTCACATTTCGGGAAACAATAAATAATGGAAAGACAATTGTTTAGATTGATCACTTTGGTAGGAATCATCAAAATTGCCTTGGTTGTAGGAATGGCAACGGGGCGGGGTGCGGCGAGGCCGGTGATCACTCTCCGTCCCCGATCCCCAATTGTAGAATTTTCCCTGTCCCCGACCCCGATCCCCGACGGGGCGTCTACCACCGCCCCCATCTCCGCCCCCTAACAGGGATCAGATTTCCCCAACCCCGAAAATTCCCCGATCAAAATATTAAAAAAAATAAAAAAATAAAAAAAAACAAACATATAGATTCAATAACAAAGATTCAACATATATATTCATCAACAACAACAATCAGATTTGCTTATCATCATCAACAACAACAAAACAACTCGGAGCTCAAATGTATATTCAACAAAACAGATCTGAGCTCTGAGTTCAAATATATATTCAACCACTCTGACCTCAAATATATATTAAACACCAGATTTAACATATATATTCAATAGATCGAATAGATCTGAGTTCAAATGTAAAAAATAAAAAATAAAAAATCTAACACACTGAAAAAGAGAGACGACTGCAATCGCCTGCGATGGAGAGGCGACGAACTCTGATGATGATGGAACATGGGGCAGCGATGATGGAGAGGAGGGACGACGACGATGGGAAGAGGGGAGGAGGACAGCAGCGATTGATGGGAAGGGGGGAGGAGGACAGCTGCGATGGGGAGTAGGGACAGCGGCGATGGAGGGACGACGGCGACGCCGTGAGAGCAATTGCGCCAAGAGAGGGAGAGAGGGGCTAAGACTGTGAGAGAGACGAAATGCATGTGGTGAAAGGCAAAGACAAACATAGGAGTATATATGTTCGGGGCATATTCGGGGAATATTCGGCGAGTTATGCGGGGCTTATTTGGGGCGGGGCCGGGGTTGCGAAACCTATTCCCGTTCCCGGCCCGAAAACAGTCGGGGATTTAATTTTTAATACCATCCCCGGCCCAATGGGGATAATTTTCTGGGAAAACCCGTTCTAATCGAGATCAGGGGATCGGGTCCTCGTCGGGGGGTTCAAATTGCCATCCCTACTTGGTTGGGCAACTATCACCCAATGGGTGATGATGATGACTTCGAGATCCAATGGCAAGTGTTAAACAAAATTGATTGGGTCCATTTACCTATCCGCAGGTTTGCTGCATAATTTCCCGTACACTATTCGTGGGTTATGTTATGAGAATGAGGCAAGCATCAGATTATGCTGCTAGTACTGTTTGATCATTCCCTTGCGGAAGGAGTGGTACATTGACAGTAATAAGTGATGTGGCTTTTTGTGACCAAACTCACCTTTTCCATGTAGAGAGCATTAGCACCTTCCAAACTAGGGCAGGATACCCTCCTTTCTAGGATTTTATTATTGTCTCTTTGAATGATTCAGTGAATCGTAGATCTCGTTTCTAAATTAGGACAGGGCAACCCTACCCCCCGATAGGCACGAATGCAAATTATGCGCTTGTGTGATATTTTGAAACTGATTTGATTTAATTCCTGAGATCAACAATGAGAAAGACGGTGATTTCTTTCTGAAAATCTGGGGACTCTGATATGGTAGTGATTTGATTTTGCTGCAATCCGATTAATTTGGGGCAATGATCCAATCGCAGAGATTTGGGTGTTCAATTTAGGCGGTGATTCGTATTTTGATAATGATTTCAGTAATCAGTAGTAGATTAGGGGGGTTGTTTCCTAATTTTAAAGAATTTAAATTTGAATTTGGGTTCTTACCTTAGTGATCAAAAGAGCAGAATTTAAAAAAAAGAATATTTTTCTTCTTAAAATTTAAATCCCTAATAAAACATGTGATTAAAGAATAACTTCTAGAAAAAGAGGAACTTTCCAACTTAAGTAGAGCTTTGGAGGTTATGGAAGGTATTTGATTGAATAAGAGTCTTTAAGTCATTGACTTTAGGGGGAATTTTGACTTTTATGAAAAATGATAGATAAGGAAGTGGTGACCAAACGGTTATGGAAGGTATTTGATTGAATAAGAATCTTTTTAGTCATTGACTTTAGGGGGAATTTCAACTTTTATGCAAAATGGTAGATAAGGGAGTGGTGACCGCATCTTCCATTTTGAAAAAAACTACAAATCTCCCAAAAGATAATTGACTAAGGAGACAATTGTTTGATTAGATACTTGGAGTAAAATTCGAAGCTCCTTGGGAGGAAAGAATTTTGAAAGGAAACCCGAGTAGAATTTTAGAAATTATGAAAAGTTTTTTATCTGACAAAAATCTTTAGGTTTTTTGACTTTAGAGGGAATTTGATTTTATAGAAAAGTGTTTGATGAGGAGGTAATGACCGAGTCTTTCGCTTTGAAATGAAATTTTCAATTTCCTTAGAAGACATTTGACTATAAGGTAACTGGTTGATTGATTTCTACAAATAAGATTTTAAATTCCTTGGAAATTTTTTGAAAATAAAATTTGATTAGAGTTCGGAAATTTTGGAAAGCTCTTTTTGTCGAGTGAAAATCCTTGGGCCACTGACTTTGAGGGAACCTTAATTTTATGGAGAAATTTTAGATAAGGAAGTCATGACCAAGTCTCTCATTCTGAATAAAATTTTGGTTCCTCTATAAGATATTTGGCTAGAGGATGATTGTTTGATTGATTCCTTGGGATAAAATCCGAACTTCTCAAAACATTTGAGGAAAAAAAACGAGGAAAAGAAAACTTTGAGAATTTAAATGAAAAAAGACACTTTATTTTGAATAAGGGTTTAGGAAAAAAAAAAAATGAAGTTGAGATTTGATCACACACTCGTGAAAATAAATTTGGTCACATTTCGGGAAACAATAAATAATGGATAGACAATTTTTTAGATTGATCACTCTGGTAGTAATCATTAAAATTCCTCAAAATTGCCTTGGTTGGGCAACTATCACCCTATGGGTGGTGATGATGACTTCGAGATCTGATGGCAAGTGTTAAACCAAATTGACTGTGTCCATTCACCTATCCTCAGGTTTGCTGCATAATATCCCGGACACTATTCGTGGGTTATGTTATGTGAACGAGGCAAGCTTCAAATTATGCTGCTAGTACTGTTTGATCATATTGACAGTAATAACTGATGTAGCTTTTTGTGACCAAACTTGCCTTTTGCATGCAGAGAGCATTAGCACCTTCCAAACTAGGGCAGGATACCCCCCTTTCTAGGATTTTATTATTGCCTCTTTGAATGATTTAGTGAATCGTAGATCTCATTTCTAAATTAGTACAGGGCAACCCTAACCCCCGATAGGCACGAATGCAAATTATCTGCTTGTGTGATATTTTGAAACTGATTTGATTTGATTTGATTCCTGAGATCAACAATGAGAAAGACAATGATTTCTTTCCGAAAATATAGGAAGTCTGATATGGCAGTGATTTGATTCTGCTCCAATCCGAGTTATTTGGGGCAGTGATCCAATTACAGAGATTTGGGTGTTCAATTTAGGCAGTGATTCGTATTCTGATAATGATTTGAGTAATCAATAGTAGATTAGGGGGGTTATTTCCCAATTTTAAAGAATTTGAGTTTGAATTTGGGTTCTTACCTTAGTGATCAAAAGAGAAGAATTTTTGCCTTTTTAAAATTTAAATCCCCAATAAAACATGTTTTGAAAGAAAAACTTCTAGGAAAAAGAAACTTTCCAACTTAAGTAGAGCCTTGGAGGTTATGGAAGGTGTTTGATTGAATAAGAATCTTTAAGTCATTGACTTTAGGGGGAATTTCCACTGTTATGAAAAATGGTAGATAAGGAAGTGGTGACCGCATCTTCCGTGTTGAAAAAAACTCCAAATCCCCCAAAAGATAATTGACTAAGGAGACAATTGTTTGATTAGATACTTGGAGTAAAATCCAAAGCTCCTTGGGAGGAAAGAATTTTGAAAGAAAACCCAAGTAGAATTTTAGAAATTATGAAATGCTTTTGATCAGACAAATCTTTAGGTTTTTCGACTTTAGAGGGAATTTGATTTTATGGAAAAGTGTTTGATGAGGAGGTAATGACCGTGTCTTTCACTTTGAAATGAAATTTTGAATTTCCTTAGAAGACATTTGACTATAAGGTAATTGTTTAATTGATTTCTTCGAATAAGATGTTAAATTCCTTGGAAATTTTTTGAAAATAAAATTTGAGTGAGTACGGAAATTATGGAAAGTTCTGTCCGTCGAGTGAAAATCTTTGGGCCACTGACTTTGAGGGAACCTTAATTTTATGGAGAAATGTTAGACAAGGAAGTGATGACCAAGTCTCTCATTCTGAATAAAATTTTGGTTCCTCTATAAGATATTTGGCTAGAGGATGACTGTTTGATTGATTCCTTGGAATAAAATCCGAACTCCTCAAAACATTTGAAAAAAAAGAGGCAAGGAAAACTTTGAGAATTTAAATAAAAAAAAGGCACTTTATTTTTTAAAAAGGGTTTTGAAAAAAAAAAAAAAATTGAAGTTGAGATTTGATTACACACTCTTGAAAATAAATTGGGTCACATTTCGGGAAACAATAAATTATGGAAAGACAATTGTTTAGATTGATCACTCTGGTAGGAATCATTAAAATTCCTCAAAATTGCCTTAGTTGGGCAACTATCACCCAATGGGTGATGATGATGACTTCGAGATCTGATGGCAAGTGTTAAACCAAATTGACTGCGTCCATTCACCTATCCTCAGGTTTGCTGCATAATATCCCGGACACTATTCGTGGGTTATGTTATGTGAACGAGGCAAGCATCAGATTATGCTGCTAGTACTTTTTGATCATTCCCTTGCGGAAGGAGTGGTACATTGACAGTAATAACTGATGTGGCTTTTTGTGACCAAACTTACCTTTTGCATGTAGAGAGCATTAGCACCGTCCAAACTAGGACAGGATGCCCTCCTTTCTAGGATTTTATATTGCTTCTTTGAATGATTTAGTGAATCGTAGATCTCATTTCTCAATTAGGACAGGGCAACCCAACCCCCCAATAGGCACGAATGCAAATTATGTGCTTGTGTGATATTTTGAAATTAATTTGATTTGATTCCTGAGATCAACAATGAGAAAGACGGTGATTTATTTCTGAAAATCTGGGGAGTCTGTCATGGCAATGATTGGATTCTGCTGCAATCCGAGTTATTTGGGGGGCAATGATCCAATTAGAGAGATTTGGGTGTTAAATTTCGGCAGTGATTCATATTTCATAATGATTGGAGTAATCAGTAGGAGATTAGGGTGGTTGTTTCCCAA